GTATTATGTGGATACTAATAATATATACCTCCAAATGTGGTTAAGAGGATTAAATGTGTTTAATTACAATTCCAACCATGTAAAGTGGTTGGAATTGTAACAGGCACATAGTAAATGATCAATAAATGCTGGCTATTTAGAAATATTTGGGAAATAGACTGGAGATAGAGAGAGAGAAGGGGGAGAGCGGGAGGGGAGAGGACGGGCGGGGGGGGGGGGGGAGGGGAGGAGCCAGCTATTCCTCTCAGTGTTGTTTGAACAATGGCTCTTTACCCTGATAGTGACAGCTGAAAATCTGTCTAGCTTTGCTCTCCAAAACAGATCCATTATATCTCTTAGAAGCACCAGCAGTAACCAGGCAGGGCTCTCTCCTCAGAGGTCTGACTTCTAGTCCCTGGGGGACTTCTCCTCGAGGCATCCAAACTAGGATTCCTTCACCTATTTTTTGTCTCCCCACTCCAAAGGTGTAGCTGCTTATCTCTGTGTTAAGTCAATGTGTTCCTCCTTACATTTTCAAAAATATTAGCTGCTATTTAGCCAATTCCCTCTATTTTCTTTCTCTTAAAAAACAACAACTACTGGTGTGGTTTCTGTTTTTCTGACTGGACTCAAACCATAAGTGTTAGATAAGCTTTTAATAATGGGTCCAGGCTAGAAGTAATGAAGGCACAGAAGCAATCGGCAGGCCCAGATTACTGAGTGAATGTGGGGGAGAGGGGAAGGAATCACAGGTGACTTTGAGGTGTTGAACCCAGTGAATGAGAGGCTGGCAGTGGTATGCTAAGAGGCAAGGAAAATAGATGGAGAGACAGGGGATGAGTTTGGTGGTTGGTGCCTGCTGTTTGAGATACTTGCTGGCTATCCAGTAGAAAAGTCTAGAAGGCAGCCAGAAAGAGGCCAGCATCATCTGCACAGTTGATAAGATTGTCACAGGGAGAAGCAGAGAAATGGGATGAGAATGAAAGAGAGCTGCCCTCCTGAAATGAGAACATCGATTTGAAAAGGAGATGAAAGGTGACAATGCAAACAAACAAAATGTGTGAGAGAGAAGGGCAGGAATGGGACCTTATGGAAGAATATGGATTTGGAGAACTGGAAGAGGAGGAAAGGACTAGGAAGAAGTTGAAGGGAAAGAGGGTAATCAAGAGAGTACAGTGTCATGGAATTCAGGGAGAAGAATTAATTTCAAAGAGGAAACAGTCACTGGGCAGGAGGGGAGGAAAGTTGAGAAAAACAACTGAAGAAAGACCAAAAGTTTATGACTAGAAGGTGGGATGCTGAGATACTAAGAACTAAATGGACTCTGAAAGGCGGGGAGAAGGCCATAATTTGGAGGTGGATAGAAAGGTTTTGTTTTAATTTTTTTTTTAAGCTAAGAAATCTGATCATGTTATTTGGAGCCTGAGGAATGTGACTGTTATATTATTTTGCCCGAACTTCATTTCTTTTCCCCAAAGTCTGTATATCCACATCAGAAATAGCACATTTGAATCAGCTTCACAAATATTGGGCAAAATCCTGACGCTGCTCCCTGTGATTTAAATGGACAGGATGGACATGGAGCAGTGAGATATACACATCTCAGGTGTAAAACATCCAATGTTTGAGGTGGGTATTCGTCAAGGTAGTTAATGCTGTAATATATATCCCCTAAATCTCAGTGGCTTAATACAACAAGGCATATTTCTCCCTTTCACATCAGTCCATTTAGCTGTTAGCAGGTGTTCTTCCATGCAGGGACCCAGGCTCCTTCCCAACCTATTGGCTCTACCCTTGCCCAGGGCCTCAGTGCCCACTGGCCTTCTACAGCTACAGGATGGAGAGAATGGAGACTCCCCCGGAGGTTTTGGAGGTTAGACCTCATTGGCCAACTGAGCCCCAAGTTCCATTTTCTGGCAGGGGAGCATGGGAGACATAATAGAACAGTGTGTCCTTATAATAGAACAGTGTGAGGCAGAGGAGAAATAGGAAGACTGCTGATCCACAATAATGTTCTGTCTTTGTTTTGTTTTGTTTTCCAATACCAAGGCCCTTTACTCTAGTAGATAGTACTAGTAAACTCTTTTGAAATTCTTGCAGCATTTGCATTTAGTCCAGCCTGCACTCTTCCATTTCACTCACTCAACAAATGTTTGTTAAGTGCCTGCTATTTGTCAAGCACTGTGAAGGCAAGCCTGCCACAGTCTAACAAGAAGACAGGTTAGAATTCAGGGTTTCAAGTGCCAGATTATATCTGGCTGTGAAAACAGAGCTGGATTAATTTTCAAGTAGTTTAGCAGAGGTTTTGCAGAGGAAATGGCACTGGACCTGTGATTTTGAGTTCACCAGGCTCAGGAGTTGGGTGGGGGGGGTTAAGATGGGAGGGAGTTCCATCTTCCAGACATTCCAGGCAACAGGAATAGCATTGGCAAAAGCATTTTAGCATGAGGCTATTTGGCATATTTGGAAAGCTTCAAGTCTTCAAGTACAGGTGGAGCTTACTTACATGCAACAGATTGTCTAAAGTAAGTTGAGGAGGTAAGTGCAAGGCCAATTCATGAAAATCCTTATATGGCATGCTGTTATGGTCCAAATTGTACCCATCCCCTCAAATTTATATGTTGAAGTTCTAACTCCTCCCTGTTCCTTCCTTGCTGACACCTCTCTTCAGAATGTGATTATGTTTGGATATAGGGTCTTTAAAGAGGTAATTATATTAAAATGAGGTCATTCAAGTTCTCCCCAATCCTACCTGACTGGTGTTCTCAGAAGAATATATCAGGACACACATGCACACAAGACTACAGGGAGAAGGTAGTCATTTACAAGCCAAGGAGAGAGGCCTCGGAAGAAATCAGCTCTGCCGACACCTTGGTCTCAGACTTCTAGCTGCTAAAACTGAAAAATGCCATTTCTGTTGTGTAAGTCACCCAATCCATGGTACTTTGGTATGTATATTAGCCTAGCAGACTAAAACACATACCAAAGAATAGGAATGGGGGGGGTATGTTCTAGAGATGTTTTGGAGTCAGAATCAGGGAGGCTTAGAGAATGAGGCAAGGAAGGGTGAAGGTGAGAGCAATGCTAAGGGTGACAGAAGTTTTCAGCCTCAGCCTGCAAGTCTCTAATGTGGGGACTTCCTCCTGAAGGGCCAGGGTAGCCTACTGCTTTCAAAGTCAGCCAGGTTAAATGGACTGTATTTAGTTCAATTAATCGCTGATATTACTAATTATTTATTGACAGTGATGGAAATATATAATAATAAAAGGGTAATATGCTAATTAGACAGGCAGCTGAAAGACCTCTGGACGTCCTTCTGGAAATCCTTCCGGATGAGGCCCGGGCTGCAAGGGCCGAGCCCCTTGCACAAATTTTGTGCATTGAGCCTCTAGGCTCTCATAAAGCTCTGGCAAAAAAAGTTAACAAATTAACACTACATGGTCCTGTGCTTGTTTCTGAAGAGAATGTAAAATGTATATATATCCTCAGGCTGTTTTGATGGAATTCAGTGGCTAAATGACCCCAGTGAGAGTTCCTGGACAAGTGAAGCGTACATCAATGTGAGAGAGTTATCGATAGTTTTTGTCTCCTGAATACGCCCTGACCAGGGATCTAACCCACAACCTAGGCATGTGCCCTGACTGGGCATTGTACTCATGAACTTTCGGTTTATGGGCCAATGCTGCAACTAATGGAGCCACACTGGCTAGGGTTGCGTTTTCTCTTTGAAAGTGGAATGGGAAACAACCTCTGCTAGCTATTTTTTCTTCCTATTAATGCCATTCTATTAATGCCAATCAATTGCAGAAAGTGATCAAGTAATTGCATTTTAAGCATCAAAAAGTAAATAAGTAATAAATGCAGTGCAGGGCCTTGACCATGACAGCACATAAGTAGCCCTGAATAACTGCTCATTTTAAAGAAAGCATTTTTGGGATTTGAGCATAGGAAAGCCATTGTTTAGTTGAGTGCTTCATGATTTTTATAAATTTTTAAAAATAAGTTATTAATTTTAGAGAGAGAAATGGAGAGGAAGACAGAGAAATATCTATAGGCTGCCTCCTGCACACCCCCTACTGGGGATCAAGCCCTTAATCTGGGCATGTCTTTGACTAGGGATCAAACTGGTGACCATTTGGTGCATGGGATGACACTCAACCAGCTATAGCCAGAGCTATCCACATATTTTTATTTGTTTCCATTTACTCCAAATAATTCAGAATTGCATGGTGGTGGAGGTAAAGCTTTGGTGGTTAAAAGTGGAGGTTGAAGACACATACTTGAGCCACAGAGAACTTGCTGAGGAGGCAGACAGACATTTTTAATTGTCTGCATTTCATTCGCAGGGCTGGCAATTTGATGTAAGGGATGTTTTAAGAAATTGCTAAACCCTCAGGAATTGTGCCAGAATAAAAGAAAATCATCCTCATATCATTTATGACACAGATGCCAATGCCACATTTCATTCCTTTTCTGAGTTTTCACAAAATGTAACGTTGTCAAGCCTATGATGGGACAAAAGGACCTCCTCTTCAGCAGTTTTGTTAATCTTGATTCCCTTTTCAAATCTGCTGTCGAGCTGTCTGTTTTTGCAGGGACCCTGTTTTCTTCTCTGTTAGCTGAGACTACGGGAAGCTCAGGAAGATTCTGGAAGACTGCTCTCCTCTGGCCTGTGTGTCCTTCTCCTCACTCCTTCCACATGGACACCGACATGTATTATGTTTTTTGCAGCTAGTTTGTCCAGCTACCTCTCTTTTTAAAAACTCTCCTCTATTTGAAAGAAAAGATCCAGAGACATATAAGTTACCGATAAAGTATTTATTGCCTTTCCCATCCCAGGAGTCAGATTAAACTTAATAATTTGCATCCAAAGGTCTCTTCTAACTTTGGGTGAAGACTATGATCACTTCTGAAGAGAAGTCCTGCCTACTACCGACGAGTGGATATTTGGGGAGGGTGTCCATCTGGACAGGATCACTGGGAAATGTTTCAGGCTGATGAACTGCTAACGGGTACACTTTTCACTCCTTCTTTTCCACTTGTTGTGTGAGACCTCCAAACCCAATACCTGTTGGGCCAAAATTTTTGGCATAGCAAACTGGGAATGAAAACAGGGTGGGGGAGAGAGAAGGGTTGTTAGCACCATTATTTCAGTTCCTTGTCTGCCTAGTTTTCACCCATAAGAAGCATCCTTTTAATAAATTTTTATAAGATAATTTGTAAGTAAAATGAACACTTTAGATCTTATAATAAAAAACGCTTATACTTCTTTGCGCATCTCTATGTTCACAGACATTTTCTCATTGGAGTTGACACAGTCTGGCCCTTGGCTGCCTACCCAGCCCTGTCCCCCGCTGCTTCCTGCCTTCCCAGGCACATAGAACGATGCCCCAAGCTTGGGGCCTTTGCACTCACTGCTTCCTGTGGCTGGAATGCCCCTTCTCAAACCCACACTCATCCAAGACCAGAGGAAACTTGTCCTCTAAGAGGTATCCCTAACATCCCACACTGACCACTAGCCTCTCTGTATGTCACTGCCTTGTGTCGGTCTCTGCTCTTAGAGCTTTTTTCACTTGCACATGCAATTATTTGTCTGCATGTTGATCTCCCTGCTGCTCACAGCACCATGTTAGGGTTTTATGGCTTATGAATGCTGAGGACACTATCCTCTACTGCCAGGAGAAGCCCACCATGTGTCTCATGGGAAAAGCCTTGGTAACCTACAAATCTTGATTAGTAATGTCCTCCCTCTGTCCCCCTCTCAGTGTTCTCTCTCTCAATGTTCCCCTCACCCAACTCCAGCACAGTTCCTGGGGTCTAGGAAAGGCTCTGAGGTTGAGGATGCATTACCTTGGCCCTAATGCAGCCCTCTCCTTTTGTAGCAGCAGGGAAGAGCTATGCCTCTATTACCTCTGTGCAAGACAAAGGGGTCATGGAGGCAGCTAGGGGCAGAGCTGCGAGGACCAGAAGGAAAACCCACTTGTCGGTTTTATCTCTTCTGTTAGTAAAGTGGTGTGCAACATCAAAATAGTAATGTCAGGAAGGAAAAAGGGAAAGAGCAATGGAGGGATGGAGGGAAGGGGGGAAGAAGGAAGAGAAGGAGAGGGAGGGAGGGAGGGAAAGATATGTCTTGATGAACTGAAGAGAGGATAAACTCAGTTCATCCTCCCCAGTCACTTAGGTGCACAGAGGGCTTTTGGGTTTTTAGAAGAGAATGTGATGCTATTTGTCTAGGCCTGTGGTTTCTTCCTCCTCATCTTCTCTCCCCTGGGCACCACCCCTGAGCATTTGCAAGCATCATCCCCTATATGCTCTGATGGAGAGGACCAGAGCTAGGTTAGGCAGATTTCTTTTTTAGGTGGTCTTCCCATCCTGAGATCCCAAACCCTGAGTGCATCCTACAGACACAACTCTCCTCAGGAAAACATCTCAGGAGAGTCTCCGGAACCACTCACCTTTGCAATAAAGTTCTCCATCTTTGTCGGTGACGTTTGTGGATTCCAGACTCTTCCCACAGATGGCGCAGCGAAAACATGTCTTGTGCCAAGGCTGAGGAGCACAGGAGAGTTACATACTTAATGCAGTGAGCAGCGCATTCTGCTTCCATGTTCACTACCCTGACCAGTGCATCTAAAGAAGTGCCACTGCCTTAACCATCCCTGTACCTAATCAGCCTCCGAAACAATTTTTCCAAGGATTTGAAGAAAATGAGATGCTATGGAATTGGCCAGCAATTCTCAGAGCCCCTAAAAAATAAACTTATCGTTGTGTTTTCCATGTGTATCCCTTCAGAACAGGCTAGAAGACCACGAAACTGGAGAGGGGAGCTTGGATTTGGGACAGTAGATAACATTTGCATGGAATATAAAGTTAAAAAAGAAAAGAGAATAAGACAATTATCCAGGTAACTCAACTTCATTTAACTTTGTATTTCCGGTAGGGAGAGTGCATGGCTTGGGTCATCCAGATCACCTGCCTTCTGCACATCTGCATGTCTACCAGGCATGGGCCAGGGGTTCTCATGTGTCTTCAAAGGGCCACTCTGGGGTGGACATCTGGGGTGCCCTGATATTTGAAGTCAGTCACTGCTCTCCATGGCCCTTCCACCCCTCAGTTAGTGTAAGCGGGATGTTTTCCTTTTGTCCGGCCCAGATCCTTTGGTGAGGAGCCTGGGGTCAGGCCTGAAATAGGAGCTTGTAGAGCGAGTGTGTGTTGCTGTCTCAGACATTTAATCACTCTCCCGATTGCCAGGACATTTGAAGGAGGTTGTGTCTTGCTGCTGTGAGATGTTTGCTCTGCCAGCAGCAGACTAGATTATGTAGCGGTGGCACCTCTAGAAGCACTGTGGACCCTGAAGGGCAGCAAGGCTTGAGCATCTTTATCTCTGAAGCTTCTACTGAGTACCTCACAGCTAGTGGGCTAATGCTTATTGCACTGGAGTCACCAGTTCTGGTTTCCGAGGGCACTGCAGGGGACAGCCTCAGCGCGGGAAAGCGGGTGAGGATGGATGGCTCCTAAAGTGGTCCCTCAGAGCTAAAGGGAAAGAAGGGTCTGGCTCCCACCACAGTTCTACTTGCTTCTCTCATTCCTCCCAGCCAATCAGTGGAGATAAGCAGCTCCCATTTGGCTCATATAGAAGTCCTTACCTTGCCCCCTGCCATCACCTTCTCAGCAGCATAGACTGACTTTCCACATCGAGGGCATTTCTCTGATTCTCCAAACTTGGCAGTGAACTTGGAAGGGTTGCTAGTGGTGGCTGGTCGTGCTTGCTTTGGGGACCTGATAGAAATAGACAGGTGAGTGAAACCTATCCACCTCCCTTGCTGTGTGACCTTGAGCAAGTTAGTTAATTTCTCTGTGCCTCAGACTCCTTATCTAGAAAATGGGGACAGTCATAGAGCCTTCCTCACAGAGTTGTTGAGAGGGTTAAATGAGGTGACATGCGCAAAGCTTTTAGAACAGTGCCTGCCTGGTACAAATAAAGGCTCCTAAATGTCAGCTATAATTAGTTTAAACCTTTCCTTTCTATGGTAAAGCACTTCAGAAATGTTCCATGTATGTTAGCTTTTATTAATGTCATTTTGTTACTGTGTTATTATTGCTGTGACTGTAGAGATTTTTCTGTTCCATCTGGAAGCCCATTGGTCTACTTTCCAAAATGAGTTGTGAAAATATTATAGGGCAAGATGGGATCTTGATGGTTAATACTAAACAAACCATAGTCCATTCCTTGTCCCCATGAGAACAACGTACAAAACAGAGGCACAACAATCACCCCCGTGTTGTCATATCTTTTGGTGTTTTCTTGTACACTCATCCCTTAGTCTCACCATCTTCTAAAGAAGGCAGGGCTAGTTGGAGGAAAGTGAGGGTGGAGGGGCCACTCATGAGCAATGGAGATCATAAGCAGTGGGACAAGGTCTCTAGATTCTTGTCCCTCTTTGTGCAGCATCATAAGATAACCCTAACATAGAAGAGAGAGCCTTGGGAAGTGTATGGCAGAGAATCCAGTTGTTATCATCTGGTTGGGATTGAGTAATGAGAAAAATTAAAATTAATCACACATCCTTGGTGCTTGCTCAGGCTCTACCGTGGGCTCTTTTCTTTGGAAGGGATCAGGTGACTCTCCTGATGGTCTGACTGCTCTGTGGGGCAGGCCCTCCCTGGGACATTGCCTTTCTACCCAGTCCCGCCTCAGCACTGAGCCCAGCCACCAGCTGGCCAGACAGCAGCTGCAGGTGTGTGGCTGCCAGTCTAAGCTCGGTTCTGGGCTGGAGGTCAGTGAGGTCAAGACAGACTGGCAGACTGAAGAGGCACAGTGTGAAGTTCCAGCTCCCGTAGGATAATGTTGGGGGAAACCTCAGCACTGTGTTGGCAACACGCAGCAGGGGGCACCCACAGGATAGTTGTAATTGATTGTTTACTCCTGAGGCACAGCCCCACCCCACAGAACCACTCCTCCTGTGGACATTAGTTATCTTACAACCCAAGCAAAGAAATCTTTTAGTGACACACACACAGCAAACGGCCATTGCTTCCCTGCCATATTTATGTGATTTACACAGAAAAGCTCAAAGGGAAGAAATGAGACTCCATGCAGTTTTATAAAAGTCAAACAAAGGAACATCTGTACTTTATGAGTTTTCTCTTGACATAAGAACCAAGAGCCATGGTGCAAAAGTAATTACCCTTTAGAAAGGCAGATAATTTAAAGAGACTTTGGGGAGATGGCCCATTAGTAACACTTGGCCAAACTGAGGATTCCTATGGTTGGCAAGTCAACAATAGTTCATTTTCCCACTTCCAGGAAACGTTGCTATGGGAACAGAAAGAACTGTCCTGATAACTGGGGCTGTGCAGGCCAGGAGAAGCAGGACAGTCACTCACTCTTGGAATTGGAGGCCCAGGTGTTCGCCTGTGTCGGTGCTGAGGCAGCCGGCGCCTTGTCCAAATCCGATCCCCTTGGGGCCATACTTGCGCCCATAGCAGGCCTTACAGTAGATCTCCGACTCGTGAGCTGCGACCGTGGTGCTGTCCAGAGCCTTCCTACAGGCCACTGCCAAAGAGAGGAAGGTCAGAAGGTTGGGGTTAGACTCCTCCCCACTTCCCTGCACCTCCAAAGCCATGCTTGGGGCCAAGAGACTGAGCAGAGGGGCCCTCGGCCAAAAACACTTTGATTCTTGACTGGTGCACCTGTCCTGGGGCACAGAGAGGGTAGCAATGTATTCAGTGGTGCCCAGCAAGAAAGAGGTGGAAGTGGAAACAAGAATATTGTCCCTGAATCAGAAGAACCTGAATTACAGAATGACTTCCTAAGTGACATCAGGGTAGTGTGTGTGTGTGTGTGTGTGTGTGTGTGTGTGTGTGTGTAAGTAGAAAGAAGGTAAGGGGCTGAGGCAGGAGAGGAACTTATTTTTTCTTAATCATATAAAAATTAGGATTGAACAGTTTCTCTACTTATCATGGCCTTAGGAGGGCACTGTGACATTCAAGGAGACACTTACCATGGAGGCTTTTTCTGATCCAGTCTGGAAGCCTAGAGGAGGTGAGGAGGGCAGACCTGCTTGAGACCCTTCGGGCTTATCTTGGCTCAAGCTCCCTGGTCACTGTATGTTACTAAATGTAAACCCATAATGAAAAGCGTACAAAGCAAACCCCCATTTTTCCAGAGAGAGGATTTATAGGAAGATTTATTTTTCCAATTTAAAGAAAAACTTTTAAGATATGAATGAAAGCGTCAAATCCCTACTTTATAGTATTTTATTTAATGACATAATTCAATCACATATTGATTTGGAGATGTTATTTTTCTTTTCCTAATTGCACACAAATTCGGGAACCAGTGGCAGCCAGATTGTTTCTCTGCATCAGCAGTGTCTCTGAGACACCTGGCCCAGCCTCTGGGCAGCTCTTCTCCACTCTCTGCAGCCCCATTTGCACCTGGTGGGAGGCTGTCACCTGGAAATTGTGACTCAATAAGAAGTACCTATTAACATGACATTCGGGCAGCTTTTAAAAATATGTAGGATTTCCACAAAATAACAATGGGCTTAATTGTTTTGCAGCAGTGATTCTTCAAGGTTGTACATGGTGGTGCTCAGTGATTATTAGAGGGAGGTCACAGCCCCAGGAATAAGAATACACATATATTCAGTTTACTTGCCTCCTTTTTTATTTTTAAAGCAGTTCCATCAAATGTCCTCTGTAAGCAATTCAGCATTGAATGAGGTTGTTTCAGGCTCAATGCCTTCCTCAAATGGTATTTTATTTTTAAAAATGAAGTAACTGAATAAAAGTGTGTGTAGAGTCTACACTGTAGGCGATAAAGATGTAGATGAGGTAGGACTGGCCAGAGGCTGGTGGCTGTGTGATTGGGAAAAGAGAAGTTTATGAAACAATTATGTCAATGTTATGGGTATTAAAAATTCTGTTAAAAACTTAAAAAAATGAAAAATAAAATAATTGAGAGTGTCTTATGGCATGGGAGACTTTATAAAGCTTTGAAAACAAGGGGAACCCTTATGAAGGATAATTTTGGGAGGAAAATGCTTTATGTTTGTGCACATAAGGTATATGTATATCTGTTTCTGCCCTTGTTGCTCTCAGTTACCAATTAAAACAATTTTTAAAATATTGATAGATGTTCTAGATTCTGACTTCTTTAAGGGCAAGACTTTCATGTTAATATCCCCAGGACATCGCATGGAGTCTGGCCCAGAATTAGTCCTCTGTAAACATTTGTTGAATGGGAAGATGGATGGATAGATAGGTGGATGAATAAGTGGATGAATGGATGCATGCATGCATGCGTGAATGAAGATGAGCAACTTGTCCATGATTATACAACTGAGCCATGCCTGGCTTCAGAGATTTGACTCCTCCATTGCTCATTCCTGTCACTGCAGGACTGGTGATACACTGGCACACCCTGGCCCATTCGATACCACTCCCATGCTTGACCCACTCTCAAGCATAGACACAGTGAGCTGTGCTGTCTAGTACCTCAGATACTCGCCTGCCATGTGAAATACTGTAACTGAAAAGTGTGCATTGAATTTTAAAAACTCAATACAAACAAAATAAGAATATAAAAATAATTTGTTCATAATTTGTGTATTGATTACACATAAATTATAATCCTATATAGTAAAAGGCTAATATGCAAATCAACTGAACAGCTCAGTGACTGGTCACTATGATGCAACACAGGACGCTCAACACAGGAGATGCCCCCTGATGGACAGTGTACTCCTCCAGGGGAGTGGGCCTAAGTTGTCAGTCGGACATCCCCCATGAGCTCCCAGACTACAGGCCAGGCTGAGGGACCCACCCCCTCACTGCTGAGTGCATAAATTTCGTGCACTGGGCCTCTAGTTTTATATATATTATGTTAACTAAAGTGTTTTACAATTCATTTCACCTGCTTCTTTGTATCTTTTAAAAATATAAATTTAAACTAGAAAGCTTAAATATAATATGTGGCTAATATGTCTTTTGGACAGCACTGGTAGAGAGGATTGATTTGTCTAGAAGTTGGGCAAACACTGGTGGGGACAGGCTTAGGTAGACTGTGCTTCTCTGAACCCTATTTCCAGGGATTACAGGGTCGCCTATGGACAGGCATGTCTTTCAAAGTGTGCTTCTCTCTAGGACCTTTCTGTTTACCACTTTAGGAACATATACTGCTCAGATCCTCATCCATCCCACCTACAAATTCTAAGAAAACATCAAAGGGTGGAAAGGAATGCACTGCCACATGCTCATATCCCTTCTGCCACAGCTCCGTTGAACAGGGGCATCCTCCTGCTGATTGGGAAACACAACACACCCTACCATGGAGAGCTTCACTACCATTTTCCATCCCCACTCAGGTATCAAAGTTGATAAAAGGAGAATAAAGGCCCAGAAAGCTGAATTTCCATATCCAGAACTCCAGCTTCCTTCTTACAACAACCTGTACTGTAGGTATGACCATCTCCATTTATAGATGGGAGACTGAGGCCTGATGGAGAAATGACTTGCCCAAGGTCTCACAGTATATGGCAGAACCCAGACTCAAACTCTTATCATTTTTACTCCAATGCCAGTGTCCTTTCCAATATTCCCTACTCCCACTCTTTATTAAGAGCATGAGCTGTGTTTAGACAAAAGCCAGAGAGTTATGGGATAAACTCTCTTGAGCAACAACTTTTGAATAACTGTAATAATAATCTGATGGATTTGTCCGATGACTTAAAAGAATTACCCATTGTTAAAAACTCAAAGCACCAATAAATCTGCCAACCCAATCGCTCAGATCGGTATTTCCCCCTGTTCTTAGGCGATATTTATATTTGCTGCGGGAGGTTAGAGATAATGGAAACGCTTGCAGCAGATAAAACGTTACTGTTTCTGGCAGTTTAAGGATGGAATGTCTCCTACCGCAACAGATGGAACCCACCCCTTGAAGTTCTGTTTGAAACAGTGTGAAGCCTTGGGCAGGGAGGTGGGGTAGGGAGCACTGGGGGGAGGGGAACCTGCCAAATGTCCAGTAAAGCTGACCCTTAAGTCAGATTTACTGGAGGGAAGTAAAGAAGGAAAGTGGCCAAAACAGACTGTTTTCCCAAAACAGGGCTAGCTACTAAGAAATTCCAGAATGCACGCATGTCAAAGTGTGCATTTGACTAGAGAGAGTCAAAGATGCAGGTGTTATTCCAGGCTCTGCTATGGATGCTTACAGCCCCAGCTCACTGGTGAGAAATGACTTGTCCGAAGTCACAGGAGTCCGGCAGAGCCAGACTCCCAGGTGGACCACGAGGTCTTAAAATTGCCCCAGCTTCAACATTTGTGAATCTGCGTCTGGCAGGTGATGCTAAAAATTCCCTTTGTCAAGTGACTGGTGCCCAGGCCCAGAACCGCTTCCTTTTCTGACTCTAAAACAGAACTGGCACGTGTTCCCCTGTCTGACACAAGTTCTTTCTTAGGAAAAGCCAGTTGCAGCTGACTTCAGTGACAGCTGGCCAGTGGGAAAGACACCTAGCGCCAAGCCCAGATAACTAATGGCCGTGTTTCTCTGCCAAGTCATACCTTGCAAATGTCATGCCTGGGTTAAAGCTTTCGTCACTGAGGCCAGCTTGCTCTGACTTTGAGCTGCAGAGAAATGGCCTCTGAGCTGGACAAGTGGTTGGAGAGAGAGTGCTCAGGAGAGCACTGACCCTTCCTAAGGTGGAAGCCACCAATCCCCAAGTGATGCTGATGTGGCTGGTCCCAGGACCACTCTGAGAACCACGGATATGTACTGGCAGCTAAATGTGAGCTTTGAAATGGCCCCTGGATGCTGAAGGGCCCTTGTGGTGTTCACCCAACTCACTGCAGAGGAAACAGGTCTTGTGAAAACTCCTTCCATTGCACTGGATTTCTTCCGCGTGATAGACGGTCTTTTCACAGGCTCCACATTTTGCACCGCCACCCAAGTTCGGCATCTTGAAGACTTTCTGACCAAGGTCAAGTCTAACAAGATATAAAGCAAATACCCCACAGTTAGGAGCTTTAAGAGTGAGCCATCATTGACAGTGCAGTAGTCTAAAGACCAGGATTCTGCCCTATTTTGTTTGGTGGTTCATTCATTCATTCATTCATTCATTCATTCATTCATTTGTTACTGTATGCAAGTCATTGACTAAGGCTCCGAGCAAGTCACTTCATTACATTGGGACTCAGTTTCCTCTTTTGTTAAATTTCAAAAGCACCTGTGCCTAGGGACCTCTCAGAATTCTTGGAGGGAATGAATGAGCTAATTTTGTGTCTATAAAATTATATATAAATATTAAGTGTCATCATATTTTCCATCTAGGGTTTTAAGAAATAATCCATCAGAAGTGGCAATTCAAAAGAAGATGTGGCAATAACCTATTAAAGTGGCATTATCTTCTGATCTAGTCCAGTGCTTCTCTATTTACCTTGGATCTTGCTAATAATTTGCAGATTCTGGGAGACGCAGGAAATTCTGCATTTCTAAGAATGCAGGCAGTGCTGATACTACTAGTAATGGACCACCCTTTGGGTAGCAAAGCCTTAGCTAGTCTTGCTGGGGAATAAAAGTATATACTCTATAAAATATCCTGTTCAGATTTATTCCTCCTATTCATTAATTCCTTTTTAAGGAAACATCCCAGCCCAGGCAATAAGCTATATTGGCACTATCCTAGGTCAGTGGGCTGGAAATCTACCTTCTGCTTTGGGGGCTACCCACACCTCGCTGTGGCAATTAAGATGAACAACTGCATAGCTTCTTACATCTGTCTTCTGTCTATGCTATAAAGAGAATTATTCTTTTCCTTGCTGCTTCACAGTGTTGTTTAGAGAACCAAGTGATATGATGTGCAAAAAGGTACATGACAGAATTCCCAGTGCCAAGTGTGGTCACAAGAGCCAGTGAGGATGCTGTGTGTCTACCCACACCCTTTGAGCACATCCTGCTGCAAGGAGCTGCTGACACCCACAGCCCTGGGTCATCATTATCTCCTCACTAAGAGATATTAGACAGCCCTAGACAGTTTGGTTCAATGGATAGAGCGCTGGCCTGCTGACTGAAGGGTGCCCAGGTTTGATTCCAGTCAGGGGCATGTACCTCAGTTGCAGGCTCCTCCTTGGATGGAGCTCTGTTCAGGAGGCAATCAATGTGTTTCTCTTACATTAATATTTCTCTCTGTCTTTCTCTCTCTCTCCCACTGTCTTTAAAAAATCAATGGGAAAATATCCTCAGGTGAGGATTTAGAGAGAGAGAGAGAGAGAGAGAGAGAGAGAGAGAGAGAGAGAGAGAGAGAGAGAGACTAGGCAAGGAGGAGTATCAGAAAAAAATGTTTTTCTTCCTGTGTCTGTGCATAAGTATGAATCCAGTTTTCAGTTTCTCCAGAGCAAAACTAAAATAAATCACACATACTCAGTGAAATTTCTGAAATCCTGCCAGACCCACAGGGCCTGAATTTTTATTGGGATCCTTTGGTTTGTCAAAGCCTGGTGTGTCATCTTGTCATCGACACCAAACACTATCAGCTCATTCCAAGTGGCTGCTTCTGACCTTCTCTTTCCCTCCTGGGAAGCTAGTCACCTTCTTATAATAGTTGGCCATTGCCACTAAGCCCTCCTGGAATGTGTCTCCCAGACTTATGGCAAGGACAGGTTTTGCTAAGAAACAGAAGGTAAATAAATAGCAAACAGACCACTGAACCCGATACTCAGACCAAAGGGAACATCCCTACCTGAATGTCCCTGCAAGGAGCTTTTTCCACTTACAAAAACAGTGTGAGGTTAGCCGGGAGCATCCTATCCTTCCTCTTGTAGAAGCAGGCTCTTTAATTCAGTATAATTTAGAAAAGCTTTTTTTTTTTTTCTTCTTAAAGGAAACATTTAATGCTTCTATTTCTATAGTTCAAGTTGTTTGGTTAGTGGAAAGAAGAGTGAATTTTGAGTTGAAAAGCTTGGGAATCAAGTCTTCATTCATTGATTCATTGATTCATTGATTCATTCATTTATTCACTGACTATGCATTTACTACCTATCATGTGTCAAGCACTGCATCAGGTACTGGTGAGGGACCCAAGGGAGGAAAACATAAAAATAATAAGTGAATTGTGTCCCCCAGAATTGGGAAGTCCACATTCTATTGAGGAAGACAGGCAGCAGAGAAGAGTCTTGTGAGACATGTCATGCAAACTCAGAGGAAATGGCTACCCTTGTTTAGATTAGAAATGAAAGCAGAGGTGTTGAAGGATCATAGAAGATGGCACATCCACATGAGGTTTTGAAGGGTGACTAAGAGTTTGTCAGAGAAAGAGGAAGAACACTTCGGGCAGAGAAAAGAGCACCCAGAAAGGCATAGAGGCCTTAATATTCCCCCCGAAAGTTTATTTACTTTACTCCATTAAAATTTTAGGATTTTTATGATTAGAATAGATTTTTCACAATTTACCAATCCCTTCATTTATAAACAAGGTGAGGCATAAGTAAACACTTAGTGTAGTAATTTCTTAGCTAACCTCCTTTTCCTAGAGCCATCTTTCCCTAATTAAAGATGATATATTATCTGGAAAAAGAATAGAATCACATAATTTTGCCCATGTTCATTTTGATCTGGAATTTTAATATGATATAAAATAAAGAAGAAATGTAATATATCTCCAGGAATATGACAGTGATACTTGTGAAATTAATGATGTGGAAATTTTCAAGGAAAAAAGCCTGAGATCAAATTTCTCACTTCAGATCTCCACTGGAGATTTCATTGGCATGTACTGCAAGTTAATGGGAGAGAGATATGCCTTTTGGATGTGTGTGTGTGTGTGTGTGTGTGTGTGTGTGTGTGCGCGCGCGCGCGTGTGCGTGTGCAGCAATCGCCTACACATGATACTTTTCAAAGTGAGGATAAGATTATAGATAATAACTCCTTCACAAAGTAACCTAGTCTAGTACAGGTTTTTAAAAAGAGATCATAAATAACTGACATACATATGTCAGGATTTAAAACCCAAAATAGAAATCCATAAAGGTTCCATCAAACAGGTGCCCAGTTTTATTTCTAAAGATGGAATTGTAGAGCAGTGGAGGCCAAACACAGCAGACACCTCAGATTTTTTTTTTTTCCTTTCAATGCTTAAAGGCCCAAAGATAAGGGTGTTGGATAGCATCCTGAACTGGAAGGCATGGATTCTATTCTTGACCTTGTGACCTTGAACTTGGGTGAAACATGGCGATAAAACTATCTCCTGCACTTTCCTCGCAGGACCACTGTGAGGGTCATGGACAGACGGAATTTACAGGAGTGCAGTCGCATCCCTGGAGGGATATGTTCTAAGACCAGGCATCATAGTGAACCCTATGCTTACGGCTTCACTCACAGGAACCGCTTCACGGCTTCTCTTGGGCATATCTGCATCGCCAGCATTGCTACTCCTGCAGTTTGGGGCCATTATTAAGTAAAATGAGGGTGACTTGAGCACAGCCCTGAGACAGCACAGGAGTTGGCCTGAAAATCAACCCGGCTACTAAGTTGACGGGCGGGGGTGGGAACCCGAGATTCACGTCTTGGGTGACGCATCGCGAGATTTCATCTCTACATAGAACTGCGCCGTTTGATCACATGGCGCAGAACGGCGTGCAATTTAAAACACGAGTTGTTTACTTCTTGGAATTTTCCATTTAATATTTTTGGGTCGAGGCTGACCACTGGTAACTGGAACCACGGGAAATCAGAACCTCGGGTAAGGGGGACTTTATTGAGAAGCTATTCAAAGGCAAAGGATATGCAGACAGCACCAGTTGGCCCAGTAAGTCGCTATGGGCTGGAAGCACATCTAGGCCCTGGCTTCCGTGCCTAACCTCTTTAGCCTCCTGCATTACTGTGGAATTCCTGTGTCTCGACACTCCGCTGGCCAGGCCCCACAGTGTGAGTTCACGCTGGCAAGACACCAAGGGATGGGCCATTTGTTTATCAGTGTTGCCCGGCACAGGCGAGGGCCATTAGAGGTGGGACACCAAATATAGGCTTGCGTGTCACTCAGCCCCATTTGTCCCCTGGGTCTCAATCTCTGTCCCATGTCCTGGGCCTGGTGCAGAGATGGCTGAGTTGTCCCTGAGGAAGTTGCTCAGGATTGAAATGGGGGGCGGTCTGAGATTTATGAGGATGAGACAGAAGGCAGGGCCCTGCTACGTCAGCGGGTGAGAGGGGGACTGCAGACTTCTGGAGTCCAGTGAGGGACAACTTGTACAACTTCTGCATGAATAACGCTGTGGCAGAGATCACACTGGGAAGGTGCCGCAGTGGGGGCTGGGAAAGCCTGGTGAAATGCAGGAGATCAGAGTCCCAGTTCTTTCTTGCCTCTTTAAATTATATGATCGGGGAAAAGCCTTCAGCGCTCTGAACCTCAATATCCTCTCTAAAACGGGCATCATAATCCTGTCTGTTTCACTATTGCTGGGAGGACTGTAGCAGTTCAAGTACGTCAAATAGCTTTGTCAACTGTAGCGTATTATAAAATGTAAGAGCCCATTAGTTCAGTACTAACTCAAAGTGGCCATGCATCAACTGAATTTTTTATTAAAAATATATATTTTATTGATTTTTTTACAGAGAGAAAGAGAGAGGGATAGAGAGCTAGAAACGTCGATGAGAGAGAAACATCGACCAGCTACCTCTTGCACACTCCCTACTGGGGATGTGCCCACAACCAAGGTACATGCCCTTGACCGGAATCAAACCTGGGACCTTTCAGTCCGCAGACCGACGCTCTACCACTGAGCCAAACCGGTTTCGGCTCAACTGAATTTTTAAAAGAAAAACCAACTGTGTATCTTAGGCACATTCTTCCTAATCCAACACTTTGTTTCTTTGGTTTTTAAATACCAACTATGGAGTGGAAAGGTAATACCCTAGGGCAACAGTGAGTGGGGTAAATAAAATGGGCACTGAGTGATTCAGTTTCCT